CCCCAAAACCCCAAAACCCCAAAACCCCAAAACCCCAAAACCCCTATATTTGTAAGCCGGATGGGTATCTAAATTAATAATATTTCAGGTAAGTAAAAATGGAATAGGGAGAAGTGGAAAGGGAGATAGAATTGAAGGAAAGGAGAGTTTAGAGAAGAGATATAATCATTTATGCGTATTCTAGATGTTTTAGAAAGGATTTTAGACATAGACAATATGCTTTGAGGTACTTTTGATGTGTAAAATGGAGGAACTCATCAAATTTAATTTCAAAAAATTAAAGAATTTGAAAGATTCTAGACTTCAAATAATTATAAATGAAACGGTTTAGCTATTTAATGGGACTTTTTCGTTAATAAATCGAAGACTTCTATCCACTACATCATTTTCTAAATTTAACATCTTCAGTTAGCTAACTTTTCTGGTTAAAGATGTTTATTGTTATTAGGATAATCTATGCAGGAAAACGCAATAAAGAGTGATTAAGACCACTAATTAGTTATTTCCTCATTTAGTCATTTTAAAGCCTCTTGCTGGTGAAGAGTCTGGTCTGAATGGGAGTCTCACTATATTCTAATTATTTTGATATCTTCATAATTTATATCTCTTATTTTTAACCCAAAACATCTTTGATTTTTATTGCAAAGTCTAGAACAGATTTGCTAGATCGTTATTCTCTGATCCCTGGGTTTTTATCTACAGCTAAGTTACGGGAGTTACGAATTTTATAAAGTCACCCAGTATAGATTAGGACAAGGCGCTGTAGGATATGCTACAGGTACTAGGGATAAGACTCATTCATATTTACTTATCTCTATACTGTATGGTGATTTCAATCAGTTAGTTTTCAAATCTACACAAAAGAGAAATTTTAAAAATTCTCCAATAAATTTATGAAGTACTTACTTGGCTAATAATTATGAGGGGATGCTGACTTAATTTTTAAGCAAATTTATCGGCAGATATGTGTTCTTTAGACTAGCAGCTGCGTCTGAATATTTTAGGGAATGATCTTACCCTATGGCAATGCAATTGCAAATCGATTCTGTCTGAAAGTGGCCTAGTAGAACTTTTAGTAAACTTTATGTAAATTTTTACTCCTCAATGCCAATTTTGGTAAGCTGACTCTAGCCTCTTTATTAACAAGGCTGAGTTATTAGTTGCCCATTATTAATAATGTCGTGTTGTGATGATTTGATTATAATATTTGTTATTTTTAGCAATAGTAAAGTTGTTTGTTTGGGTTTATTCAACATCCTAGCACTAAGGATGTTTTAAATTATTGACTTTTAACCTTATTTCTCTGGTGAAAGTTTGACTAGAAGTCAGGCACTCCATTATTATAGCCCATTCTTTCTTATTTATTTGTCTTTCAACAGTTTGGCTGGATGAATATTTTCGATCATATGGTCATTAGGATAAGGAACCTAGTATTAGAAGGTAAGCTAATAAATATACTTAGTGTCTCCTTTAGTATATATAGGCTAAGATGGCTTCATTTTAATAAGATATTATCATCTGGTTCATTTGCTTATTGCTGCATCTCTTTTAACCAGTCATCAAGAATTTTTGGTTATGAATTGAAACAACAGATGTAGCTAAAATTATCAAAAAATTTAAAAACAACTAGCCTTGTTTGGGTTTTAAGGCTTATTTCCAATGCATCCCTTCGAGCTTCTTTAGATATCAAATATGCTTTAAATCATAGATTTTCATGTGAAAAAATCCTCCATTGTTCTAGAATTTTACACTTTTATTGGTAACTTAAAATTTCGGGGAATCCCAATAATCACAAATGTGAACAATAATCGATTTTATGATCTTTTAATTTCAGAAATAATTAAAAGAGATGCCTAATAGGTTGCTATAGAGATATCATGGATACCGATAAATACGAAGTAAGCCAACTAATAATCTTACACTAATGGGTTAATATTACATATTCATTTTTATGAGACTCAATTATTCTCTGTCCCTTCCTTCTTATTCTCCTTCTGACTTTTTCATAGCTCAAGAAGATGTTTTCTTGGTCAAAGAACTACAACAATGGACCTTGGACTAATGAAGAGCATGCTCTGTTTATCAAATGTACCCTTTGCTAATACTTTAGGACTTAAAGAGCATGGAAAAGATTGGCCAAAGCTTAAGGAAATGGTAAGTTCTAACCTCGATGAGCCTAACCTTGTTTAGATTCCTACTAGAACCAGGACTCAGATAAAGTCTCATTGAAGAAGATATTTTTCTCAAGTTAAGAAACACTTCAATGTACAAGATCCCATGGAATACATTCTGAATAATCCATGAGAAAACCCAAGGATATACAAAAGAGACAGATATGGATCTCAAGACAAAGAGAAGGACTGTAGAAAGGACCCTAAGGAGGCCATATTTGTAGAAAAAAGCATGACAGATTCTAATAAAGAATTTAAGAAGACTCATAACAATGCTTCTAAGTTCGACGGAAAGCATGAAAAATTCAAACTATTAAATAAACGCAGTTTAAAAAGCCTATTAAAGGCTTCTGAAGACTCAGAAATAGGTACAGATAAAATGATGACTTATGAACAAGTAGAGTCACCAAGCAGGCAAGAGATGGGAGGACTTAGATCAATAAACAAGTAAGCATTTTTATTATTCAAAACAAGCCTCTTATGGATGATCAATAGATTATCTGCTTTGTGTTGGGATTAATGATACAATAATTTTTAGAGATAAAAGAGAATTTACTCTTTATCAATCGAATCAGAGTTCACAAAAATATTTTCCCTCAGAGTACCCCAATTACTCTTACAGTCCTGATAAGTCACTATTAGTGAAGAATAGTCAGACCGAGGTTTCTGGGAATCTCAAAAGCTCCAAAGCAACATGGCCAGCTAAGCCTGCTCAATATTTGGATTCTTTTGTTCATCCTGAACAAGATTTGAATTTGAGCATTAACTTCATTATAGAGAGTAATCTAAGCTCTTATTGCTTATGTCAATTCTCTAACTTAGGAACCCATACTAATCAGAGGTCATACTCTAACCTCTCTTCCTATAACCACTCAGATACTAAAATAGTCGATGAGAAGCAAGCTCTCCTGCAGCGGGAACAACTAAGCACCAAAGAAGTCGAGCTGTTGCTTCCATATTTTTGCTTATGTGATCAATAAATTTTAAATATCTGGGTTTTATTTCAGCAATATTATTCCAAAAAGGGGTTTTGGGGTTTTGGGGTTTTGGGG